TTTAAACTATACCTATGTTAAATGAAAAAAAAGGCGCTGTCATTTAAGTTTTAATTAAAAGAGGGGTTGATTTGTAGTTTAACCTATCTATTCCCTCTTCTTTGCTTATTCACGCACAAAAGGAGCGACACCCCACTCCGATCATGCCTAACGACCAACACCCAACACCGCCTCCTCCTGTTAATCGCATAGACACCATCAATCCGTCTCTTCTCTCCGGCAAAAAGGTTTTGAGTTCGACTTTGAGGTTATTTCCTAAATCCAACCTCTCTCTCTCTCTCTCTCTCTCTCTCTCTCTCCAACTCCCTCCGCCGTACCTCTCCGACCTATTTTTTTTAGCTTCATCGGAAAAGGAATGGTCACCGACATAACTTATCTGTGTACGATAATGAAACGGCAGAGGATAATAAATAATTTTGAATCAACGACTCTTATACTCGTGACTTGCTCGGAGGCGGTGGTGGTTGCGACCTTGATTCCTCAAAATAATTGGACCTCAACTTTCATGTTACTTCTAGCTCTTCAGCTTTAATATATCATCAATGGTCGTTATGTTTTGTTAATTATCGTGACATTTTTGATGATATAAATATAGATTCGAATGAATTCTAACCTAATTTTACAGAGACGATTTCAATTGCTTGATAATTCTTGAAAAGTATTGGAAAACCGTAAATGTTTTATCTCCAGAGATGCAAATCACCAAACATACCTTCTTCATCAATGAAATGACGTCGGTGGAGATTTGAAGCACAATTCATCAAGATTGACTTTGAGATTAGTTCCAATTTTCGTTTTTAAAAGCGCATTTTTGTGATTTTCTAGCTGCATACTCCTTCAAATGCATAGTGTTTCGTAAGGGTTCTAGTTAAGTTGCGAATTGTGATGAGATGCTCTCTATTTGTGGTGATTTCAGTTGGCTTTCAAAGTTATTGATGAACTTACACAAAAACGAGAGAATAGCAAGATATATGTATCAGGTTACGTGGGAAAACTAATTTCATTGCAAAGAAAACTTAGGCAATTTGCTCGTATGCATCCAATCTATTACTGGAGCATATATAATCAAAGTTGTGATAGTTGCTTATATTACTGATTTCATATCCTCACTAATTCTCAGGTATGAACTTGCCTTATTGCAAAATTTACAACTTTTCTTCCGTAGAGTACTTGTAAAACCCTAGACTTTGCATGAAAAATGTAGGTCCCTATGATTGTAACCACTGTTGGAGATAGAGGTTTGGCCCAAAATATGGTTCATTCGTTGTTTGTGGTTCAATAGGAAGCAAATATATACCTGGCTTGCCACCACTTCTCAGCAATAAGAACATTTACAAACTCGATAAGTGGCTTTGAATCTTGATAAGTGGGACTCGCAAGCTGCTAAAGTTCCTAGTCCTTTGACCAAAGAAATGGAGGAATCTCAGAATGCTAAGCACGTAACTTTCTTTTACCCCTTTTGTTTTGGCTGGATAAATGACATAACCATTCTGCACCTAGAAAATATTCTAGTGCTATAGTGATTTCTTTGATATCCAGATGTATTAGTTAAAAATAAAAAGACATAACAATTGAATATGTTACGTTTTAATGATAATTAAAAAATGATGAATATTTAAAATAAGCGTTAGTAGAGGTTGGGTGTGACAATCGTCAAACTCTAGTCAAAGTCAAAGTCAAAAGTCAAAGTCAAAGTCAACAAGTCAAACCGGTCAAACTTAACTAGTACTTGTATGTTAAAACTTATTCTATGTATAAAAATGTGCATTTGTATGTCAAGAATTCAAGTATCTCGGAGAATCTATGTGTTTATCAGTGTAAAACCCTAAAAATGGAGTTAAACGCATCAAAACACGACTATGGACCATTTTGGGGACTTAAAACAATCATAAACGAAGCATAACGGGATTCACGAACCTTGCATTGCAAGATTATACGATAATAATGGCTAAAATCAAATCTCTCCAAGTATGTGAAATCTCTCCCAAATCTGTCCAAGTATGTGAAATCTCTCCCAAATCTCTCTAAGTATGTGAAATCTGTCCAAGTATGTGAAATCTCTCCTAAATCTCTCCAAGTATGTGAAATCTCTCCCAAATCTCTCTAAGTATG